ACTTTGCTTGCATCTCGTATTTGCACACGCTTTCGCACCTTCCTCTTGAAACAGCGCCACTGGTTGGGACCGGCTCACATGCTGCAGACCCCCTTACTTCAGGTAACCCTCTCAGGTGCAGGTACCCCTCAGGTGCAGGTGTGCAGGTACCCCCTCAGGTGCAGCCCTTGGGTCTGCAGTTTGTGACTTGGCCTCCACCAGTGGCCCCTCCCCTCTCCCGCCTTGCAACTGCCGTTCCCTCTCTTGCACTTTCACCATTCATCCCCTCGCTGCCCACTGACCAGCTCTGCGTGTGTGCCTTGCAGGTGGAGGGGAGGGGCGGGGGTCAACACCGACGCTTCCCCACGCCCCTCCCCTGTGGCCGTGCAGGTACCCGTGGGGATGGGAGGGAGGCAGCACTGCCAGTCGCTGCCACAAGGGAGAGTATCGGGGTGGGCTTGGCCTCTCAAGGTACGTCACCTGCCCTCTTGCCCTCGTCTCTCTTTCTGTTCTTCAGTTTTGCCTTTTCGATTTCGTCAACTTCAGTTTTGTTTTTCCTTCTCTGGTCCAGCCAACTCACTTGCTTTCACCTTCCCCCTTTCGTCTGCCTCCACCCCCCTCGCCTGTGGCCGTGCAGGTGCCTGTCTGTGGGGATGGGAGGGGGGCAGCTCTGCCAGTCGTTGCCACAAGGGAGAGTATCGGGGTGGGCTTGGCCTCTCAAGGTACGCCGCCTCCCCTTTTGCCCTCAACCCTCTCTTTTTCTGCTCTGTAGTTCCGCCTTCTCTTTCTCGTCAACTTCAGTTCATTGGTTTCTCTAGTCCAGCCTATTCACTTTCTTTTACTTTCCCCCTATTCTTCTGCCCCCACCCCTGCAGGCCACTGGGCATCGAGGGAAGACTGTAGCAGAGAAGCTGAGTAGCAGACCGGCAGCAGCAGTTGTAGCAGCAGAAGCGGCAGCAGCAGCAGCAGCAGCAGTGGGGGGTGGGGGGTTAGAGGCGGGCTAGGTTAGGTCGAGTAGTGAGCGAGGTGTGGTATGGTATCAGGTAAGGTATGGTTGCAGGTTTGGTATGGAGATCTGATCCCCTCCTCTCTTTCTTCCTCCCCACCCCTCTTTGCAGCCTGAGTATGGAGGGAGCACTGGAGCAAGGGCGGGACAGAGACATCTCTCTCTTCATCCTCACCTACCCCTCACCTTCTCCCTCCCGCTGCCCCCCTCCCCACTTTGCAGCACGGTCGATGCAGCCTGAGGGAGAGAGGGAGCAAGGGCAGGACAGAACCATCGCACTAACCCCCCCCCCCCACCCCCCCCCCCCCCCTCCTCCTCCCTCCCCACTTCCCAACACCCTGAGGCAACATGGCGCTCTGCATGGCTGTGGCAGGTAGAGGTAAGAGGCATGGGGTGAAGGGGAGAGTGGGGAGGCGGTGGGAAGCATGGGAGCAAGTGGGCAGGTCACTCTCTCAGGGGCAGCATCCTCTAGGGATGTGCCTTGCGGGTCGGGGTGTGGTGGGTGGAATCTGCGCGGCACGGCACTCGGTGCTCAAGTAACTAACCTGACGTTAAGGCTTAATGGGCACCGTCAGAGTCGACCGGCCGGCGACTCTGGTTCGCGTCAGCTCTAGCTACGTCAGGGGCGGGATTTGAGTCTTGGGCTGGAAGCAATTTTCCACTACCACACCTTGCCCTTCAAGGCACTTCCCCTGGGGTGCTGTTTCCGAAGGGGAGTGGGCTTTCTGCTGCTCCTACTGCTGGCAGGTAAGGTGGGGAGGGGATGGGTGGGCTGGATGGTGATGGGGTGATGGTGGTGAGAGGCAGTGGGGTTGGCGGTGGCATATGATGAGCCATATGGCACTGATGCCACCCTTAAGCATGGAAGCATGATGCTCATGCTTGGCTGGTTGGGGGCACATGATGAGTTGCACTGATGCCACCCTTAAGCATGGAAGCATGATGCTCATGCTTGGCTGGTTGGGGGCACATGATGAGTTGCACTGATGCCACCCTTAAGCATGGAAGCATGATGCTCATGCTTGGCTGGTTGGGGGCACATGATGAGTTGCACTGATGCCACCCTTAAGCATGGAAGCATGATGCTCATGCTTGGCTGGTTGGGGGGCATGATGAGTTGCACTGATGCCACCCTTAAGCATGGAAGCATGATGCTCATGCTTGGCTGGTTGGGGGCACATGATGAGTTGCACTGATGCCACCCTTAAGCATGGAAGCATGATGCTCATGCTTGGCTGGTTGGGGGCACATGATGAGTTGCACTGATGCCACCCTTAAGCATGGAAGCATGATGCTCATGCTTGGCTGGTTGGGGGCACCTGATAAGTTGCACTGATGCCACCCTTAAGCATGGAAGCATGATGCTCATGCTTGGCTGGTTGGGGGCACATGATGAGTTGCACTGATGCCACCCGTGCATGGAAGCGTGATGCTCATGAGTGGGTGAAAGGGGCTGAGTCCCCTTTGGTGGGTGAGAGCAAGTGAAAGGGGCTGAGTCCCCTTGGGTGGGTGAGAGCAAGTGAAAGGGGCTGAGTCCCCTTGGGTGGCACATGATGAGCCGAATGGCACTGATGCCACCTGTTGCATGAGAGCATGGCATGATACAGCGCGATGTGAAATAGCGTGGCATGATACTGTGCCTTAGGATACATTGGATTATGATAGAATGTGGCACGATGACGGTGAGGCATGATGACAGTGTAGTATGATGCGGTTTGGCATGATGACAGTGTAGTATGATGCGGTTTGGCATGATGACAGTGTAGTATGATGTGGCTTGGCATGATGACAGTGTGGCATGATACACTGCGGTATGATACCGTGTGGTATGATACAGTGCGTATGATACAGTGTGGAATAATATGGTGTGGTATGATTCTGTGGTCTGATACAATGTGGTATCTCATGGTGTGAGGATGTATCAAGGAGTGGCATGGCATGTTGTATCTGGTGGTGTGGCATGGCTTGTTGTATCTGGTGGTGTGGCATGGCATGTTGTATCTGAGGATTGGCATGGCTTGTTGTATCTCGTGCTGTGACATCGCATGGTGTGCCATCTGTTCTTTTGAAAGTCATGGAGTGGCATGCCATTTTTTCATGTGGCATGGTGTTGCCGGGCATGAGGTGGCATGGCATAATGCGGTATGTCATGGTGCCCCATGGAGTAGTTTGGCACATGGTATGGCACGTCATGGTATGGCAGGGCATGGTATGGCACGTCATGGTATGGCAGGGCATGGTGTGGCGTGTCTTGGTGTGGCATGCCATGGTGTGGCATGCCATGGTGTGGCATGCCATCATGCCATGTGCAGGCTGGCACCAGATGGAGGGAAGAGGAGCAGAATAGAAGTCGAGGATGGGCAGTGAGGGAGGGAAGACGAGGGAAGGGGTGGAGGAGTGGAGGTGTGTGGCATGTGGCATGCATGGCTGCCTCGCCTGCCAAGGCCGTCTAGTGCGCTGCATGCGCTGATCTGAATCCAAAAGCCGTAGTGGGTACAGTTTTGTCTAGTATGCCTGTCTGAATGTAATGTGAACTTTATCTCTTGTAAAAAGTGCAGTAGTACGGTTGTACGGTATCTTTCTGCAAACTTGTGGCATAGTGAATGTCAGCTGCTACCGTATTCTCCCGGATATAAGACCCGGGGGACTTTCCTAAAATAGAGGCAAAATGACTAGGGTGAACATTTAATCGGAACGAGTTGTAAGAGTCCCGGGTACACTTAATAATCATGTACACTTATGCGATTTAGGGGTGTACACTAGAATTTGAAGGGGGGGGGGGGGGGGGGGGAGGGGGGGTTCTTATATTCGAACCGAAAAAATCTCGCGTGCGCGAAACTCGCGCGAGTGGCGCGTCAGAAGTGTCAGGTTTCGCATCTGACATGATTGGTGTGTCAGAACCCGAACCTGACACAAATGACGCGTCAGATTTCGGATTCTGTGCCTCTAAAAGCTGACGCGCATTTTCAATGTTGACTAGTGTATACAGAAAAGGGGGGTCTTAAAATGTTTTATAGCAAAAGGGGGGTCCTTTCATATAGCATACATATTAAGAGTCCCTGTACCGTTCAAAAGTCCCGGGGGTCTTTTTTTCGGGAGGGTCCTATATCCGGGAGAATACGGTAATTGCAGAGCCAATTACGGGAATCTATTCAGCAACGAGACAAGCTATTCCTTGCATGGCAAAACTTAGGCTTGGAAGAGGAAGAACTATACTTGTACATGGTTATAAGCTGGTATAAATCACCGCACATGAACATCTGCCTTTGGCATCCCTAGTTACCGTATCTAGGATAGTAAATTTGGTCGTGTTGCTCGTGTTGTATCTTCTTGATTTTGCGACGGCCTTATCAGCGCAAACTTGGTCATGTCGTGTTGCATCGCATTGATTGAATTACAACACATAGTCACACTCAGCCATGCCTGAGACCACCCAACCCGCATCAAAGGTGTGGGTGGGCAAGTGAAATAGAAGGGGCTGTTAGCCCTTAGGTGGGTGAGTGGAAGAGAAGGGGCTTGAAGCCCGTTGGGTGGGAAGCATGAATGTATCGGATGACATGCCACAGACTGCTGCTATTGACTCTTATTCACTAGTGAATCACCTACCTATGTACAGACCAGACCAACATGCTAATGTCACTTATAGCTAGGAGCAGCAAGCAATGAAGCTGCTTTGTCTGGGAGAAATATATACGAGTAGCGCACAAGGAAAGGATAGGAGGCCTGGACAGGCCAGCAGTCAAGTCAAGAGCATTTCGACCGTCTGCAGTAGCTGCAGCCACTCTTGATGGTGCAAGCAACATCAGTGAAACCCTGTTGCTGAATGTTGGTTGGTGGTATACGTAGGTACCCTGGCCTGCAGCCATGGCTCCACTTCACTCCAGCTCTCCACACTCATGATAATCCGAATCACCATCTTCCATGCAGCACTGAACCGTCCCGCTGCTGCTCGCCTCGCCTTAGTACTGAAAGCCAAGTTATTCAGGGGCAGGCACTGAGCGGCCCAGAAGGAGCGTCACTGGTCGCGGGGACGGGCGGCCCAAAGCGAGCTGAGGGCGCGCAGGCGGGCAAAGTAGTCTCCCATAGCGAGGAGACCCCTGGCTGCCTGCCGTGTGGTCAGTATCCTGTGCATCTGCTGCAGCGTCTGCTGCCGCAAGCTGTCCGCCTGGTGGAGGAGATGAGGGCGCACGTGGGGGGATTGGGTTGGGGGAGGAGTGTGGAGTGAGGGATTGATGGAGAAGGAGGTGAGAAGCTGAGACAGCGGAGAGAGGAGGAGAGAGCACGAGCGGTGGTAGTTCAGCAGGAGAAGCGAAGTGGGGGGCGATGGGCAAAAGGGCTGCCCTGCCTGCCCTGCACGTGCGCACCTGCTCCACAAACGACTCGAGAGTGACCCCACTTCTTGAGTCGACCCAAACACCCGCCCCACACCCACCCACACACACCTGCTTTACAAACGACTCAAGAGTGCTGAGTTTCCCCATGGCCATGGCCATCTGTCCCATGTAGTTCGCCACGTTGCTGGCTAACAGCTCCCTGCGACCCCACTTCTTGCGTCGACTCAAACACCCGCCCCCACACCCACACACACACACCTGCTTGACAAACGACTCGAGAGTGCTGAGTTTCCCCATGGCCATGGCCATCTGTCCCATGTAGTTCGCCACGTTACTAGCTGCGCCCAGAGACCCCGCACTGAGCGTGTCAGCGAGGGACTGCTGCAGCGCCTCCATGCCCTGCGAGAGCGCGTCCTCCGCCTGCTGCGACGACTGCTGCAGGTTGCATATGCCCATCAGCTGCTGCTCCGTCAGAGGTTCTATCTGCGGGATCAGCACCTGGTGGGGACGTGCGGGGCGTAGGTGAAAGCAGGGGGGAGTGAAGGAGGGCGAGAGGGGGGCGGGAGGAGAGGGGGGGGGATTTGGGATGGAAGAAGATTACAGGACGCACGCAGCAGCAACACGGAATGGAGTGAGTGGAAGAGCTGCCAACGGTGCATGGTACAGGGAGTGCAGAGGGCGGAGTGACGCGAGGGTGAAGTTTAGCGAGGCGAATTGCAGGCGGGGGAGAGGAGGGGAAGGGGGGGGGGGGGAGAAGGGGGGAGGGAGGGGAAAGACGGGTCGAGCGAGGTGGGAAATGGGGGAGAGTGCAACCTTGAGGAGCTCGGAGGGTCTGAAGCCGCCCATCCAGAGGAAGCAGCGCTCGGCAGGCGTCTTCCACATGCCGCTGATGAGATGGAACACGTCCGCCTTGGCTGCCACCGCCTTCACCCGGAACAGCTCATCGTAGTGCGCCATTATGGCCTCCACCTGGTTGGGCGCGGGCAAGGGGATGGGTGGGGGGGGAAGGAGGAAGAGGGCGTAGTGCAAGGGGTCCTGAACCGCCTTCCCCAGAAGAGCTCATCGTAGTGCGCCATTATTGCCTCCACCTGTCGCCCAGGGGGCAGGGGAAGGGGCGGGTGAGAGGGGAAGAGAGCGTGGGTGGGGGAGAGAGGAGAAGAGAGGGTTGCAGGAGGAATTGGGAAAGGGGATGGAGAAAAGGAGACGAAACAAGCAGCAGCAGGCAGAGCAGAGGCAGGTAGAGCAAAGCCAGGAACAGCAATGCGCATCACGGCAGCAGCGCAGAGTGCGGCAGAGAAGCGACGTGTGGGTGTGGGTCATACAAGCACGCGCAGCTCCTGGTCGCCGAGGCGGGACTGCAGCGCGGATCTGAGCTCGCACATCATGCGGTGCTGCTCCTCCACCCACCGCGCATACTCCATGTCAAACGCCGCCGCGCCTGCTCAAGTTCACTCGCGTACACGCAAGCACAGACAACATAATAGGGTCCGGGGAAAGGTTGGGGGTGGTTGGAAGTGTTCTGGTGTGTGAATACGAGTGGGGCAGGACAAAGGGCATAGCTTCACAAGGGGTTACAATAAAAACACGCGTGCTCAAACCACAGAGACACAGGCACACACCTGGGTTGACATTAGGGTTGACCGCCACTGCTCCAGCCCCCCCTTGCCCCGCCGCTGAGAGCGTCAGCGACTGGTCCGCACTGCTGCCCTGCACCGCCACCTGAGAGGGTGCGAGGAAAGAGGGCGAGGGGCGAGAGGACAACCGAGTGGGAAGACAGACGAGGACAGGCGAGCAGAAGGACACGCAAAAAGCTACACTCGTTTTCCTAGCTTGAATTGTCAGAAGCAACTCGTGGAAACGGCCATGGCGCGTGGAGTATGGCGCATGGCGCGCGGCACATGGTGTGTGTGTGTGTGGGTGGGGGGAGACCTGGTTGCGCAGGCGTGCGAGTTCCTGCTCCAGCTGCTGCATTCTGTTGCGACTTGTTTCCAGCTGTTGGACGTACGCCTGTTGCATTCACACACATGTTAAGAGTGAGAGAGCAAGGGAAGGGGGCACAGTTTTGGAGAGGAGGGATAGAGTGAGGGAAGAGAGAAAGGATGGAACCGCGAAGAGAGAGAGAAAGCACAGGTGCGGGGAAAGCAGAAGAAAACGGGAGAAGAGTGCTCTAGGTTAAAGAGTCATGCATGGAAGCGCCAATGATATACCACAATGACGGAACAATTGACGCGTGTGAGGGCTTAGGAAGAGGGGGAGAAGAGGGAAGCGGGGGGGGAAAAGGTGCAGGTGTATGGAAGCATGCAGGCAGGCACCTTTTTGCGCAGTCGGCTTTTCCGTGCGGCCTCTCTGTTCTGCACCAGACGCCTTAGAGACTGCTGAGTGGGGGCACAGGACAGCCACAGACACACGCACACAAGCACAAGCACATGCTTGAATCCACGGTTGAAAAGCGGCGGGGAGAAGAAGGGAGGGAGGGGAAGCGCGGCTATGGGGGGGTGCGTTAGGGAGAGATAGTCGGGAGACGGGACAGGAAAAGCGGAGAAGAAAAAAGAAGCTGTAAAAACCTTGGGTGCGAACACTCACCTTGCGCTCGTCTCCTCACCTTGGGGTCGGAGCCCTTGGTAAGGTCCTGCTCCGAGCTGCTTGCGCCACCTCCTCGACTGCCATCCTTTCCGCCGCGCTGAGGGGAAGCGGGAGATGCGGCGGAAGGGGAAGCGGGTGTGTGGGTGAGGAGGGAAGAACAGCGGTCAAGGCAAAGCATTGATAGCACAAGCGAAGTGGTCGATCCCAAATAAGGACGAATTTTTTAGAGCGAAGAACTGCAAGCAGAGGCCATCGAACACACTGATTGCAAATCCATGAAGCAAGCAATAACAAGAACCTTCTGTGGCAATTGGCGGTAAGCCAACGGCTTCTAGCGACATCCGGAATCAAGGCGCACGCGGGAGAACATAACCCGGAGGGTACAGTTAGCTAATAAAAAAAGGTGACTTACCTTATCTAAGTCGCCTTCGTTTGACGTTTCTGTGCGAGTCGGGCTCGTCGCCATGGCCTCCCTCCAGGCGAATTGGGATTGTATAGTTCCACGAGCTATGCGCCGCAGCACGGAGACTTCGTTAATTGACGCGATTCTAGACAGTGACAACTAAACAACCTAAGTAGTGGGGATACTAATTCCGTCGACAGCGGAAATTTGTCGCCATAAGTTGGTGATTTGAGGCAGAATTCCCGGAAAGAGGAAGTAACGAGAGGTTAATAAATTCAGTACGAAGCGTCATGCCACTTCAAGGCCAAGCCGCAAAAAAAACCAGGTAGCGTACGGAGAAGCATACATATATTTCTCCGCTAAAACAGAGAGGGGGAGCGTAGGAGCTTTTAGGAGGAAGGGTAGACAGAAATGCACGAAGGGGTAGTTCCGGCCAGCTGCTTCGAGCGAAACAGGTGAACATGTTCACGGGGTTCTGGCGAAAAAGATACCGCTACCGACAGAGTTACTTTTCTTCGTCTGTTCGCAAGGTCTCTCAGCTCTGTGTGCGAAAGCTGTTCGTGGATGGATGGGTGCAATCGTGTCGTGAATGGCAGGGGTAAGGGCGACCGTGAGGGAGGGAGTGATTGGATAGATTGGGAAATCCCGAGGTGATGTCAGCTATGATGTCACCAATGATGTCACTGCTGATGTCAGCGGAGATACCGGCTGAAGGGCCAACCAGCAGTCACAACACAACAGACAAGCACCACGCTCGTGTGGCTGGATGACGTGGCAATAGCGCTGCCGCGCTTGGGAATGATAAAGGGGTTCCCAGCTGGAGGTACCTTTTCAGAAGCTCAAGCGTTCATTGGTCGGTGAATCGGAGGTGGGGTTCGCAAATCTCGCTTGAAGCACACTCAGAAAACCAAGCAAATCATATTCTGAAGCTACGTACTCCCAAACCGAAACAAATCATATTCTGTAAACAAAATTATGGAAAGTTGCGTACAACGGAAAGTGCTTTCAGCGGAGCAACTACGACTACCATTTTGGGTCAGATAGTGAGCGAAGTACTTGAGTCTAAAGCGCTAGCTGATCGAAACGCCATGGGTCGGACGTCAAAGGATAAAAGAGTATGTAGTTTGCTCTGTGACGCGCCACGCATTTTATTTCGCCGCTACTTTCTCCACCGTACATATTCTCTTTCTGCCATCGCCGGCCCGGCAACGCTCTGACAGTTGTATCTTTGCCTCTTCGTACACGCACATTACCCTGTCCTCGCCTATTCGTTTAACGCGTCGTTTCGTGGTTGCGACCCGGGCTGCAGGACATATACTACCGCAAGGCCAAGGAGGAAGGCTGGCGGGCCCGCAGCGCGTTCAAGCTGCTGCAGATCGACGAGGAGTTCGACATCCTCAATGGTACGCTACTGTACGCTACGGCGCAGTGCGGTGCGGTACATTACAGTAATCCAGAGTATTCTTATGGATCCGTTCGACATAAGATTCGGCAGAGTTTGTAGGTTCAGGGTTCAGGGTTGGAGCACCGCTTAGGCGTTCAATCCGGTTGAGCTGGGTACGGTCCGAGGGGTAGCGCTTTGCTTCGTTTCCATTGTCTGCCAGTGTCACTTGATCCACTGTTGTTGCATCGTGCTTGCATGTGCACCCCTGTTGTGCGGTGCAGGTGTGTCTAGAGTGGTAGACCTCTGTGCCGCTCCTGGCAGCTGGTCGCAGGTCAGCTCTCCATCCCTCCCCCCCTCCCTCTCTACCCCTCCCTCCCTCTCCACCCCTCCCTCCCTCTCCTTTCCCTCACCCACTCTTCGTTCCTTCTCCGTCCCCTCACTCCATCTTACTCCCTCTCCACATCCGCACTCCCCCCCACCCCTGCATTTCCGCTAATCACCATAAACTGCCTGCCATTTCCCAATCAGAGCCAGTTGTATCGCATACTCCTCGCCTGCTTTATTCGCTCTGTGTCCCATCCCTCCTGTATGCGTGAATTCACGAGTGTCCACTCAACCACAATGTCTCTACGCACATCCCCGCTGTTCTTCTCCAGGTGTTGAGTCGCCGCGTGTACCTTCCAGCAAAGAAGGCCGCAGAAGAAGCAGCCAGGGCAGCACGGGCACCAGCACCAGCAGCAACAGCAGCAGCAGCAGCAGCAGCAGCAGCAGCAGCAGCAGCAGCAGCAGCAGCAGCAGCAACAGCAGCAACAGCAGCAGCAGCAGCAACAGCAGCAACAGCAGCAGCAGGGGAGGAGGACACTGCAGCACGGGAGCAAGAGCAGAGTAGAGCGGATACTGGGCAGGATGATGAAAGGGGCAGGGAGGACGGTAGAGAAGCGGGGAGTGAGACAGCAGGGAATTCTCGTGCAGAGGGGTTGGAAGAGAGGGCAGGGGTGAAGACAGGGGCTGAAGGAGCCACAGCAGGAGCAGCAGCAGCAGAAGCAGCGGAGCTGCCGTTAATTGTGGCCATTGATCTGCAACCAATGGCTCCGATCGAAGGCGTGATTCAGATCCAGGGGGACATCACGAGTGCTGCCACGGCCCAGCTGGTGAGGCGCAGGTTTTATGTGAGACAGATTTGCGGAAACTGGATGGAACGGTACCATTCATGCTGCTGATCTATGGGAGATGTTTTGCATTCATCTTTTCTCCTGCGTTCATGTGTGTGTGTGTGCGTGTGTGTGTGTGTGTGTGTGTGTGTGCACGTGTGTGTGTATGTCCCTGCGTGCGTGAGTGACTGTGTGTGGGTGTGTGTGTATGTGTGTGTGCACGTGTATGTTTGCATGAGTGACTGTGTGCATCCATGTGGCAGGTCATTGATCACTTCAAGGGCCGTCAAGCGGATCTTATCATATGCGATGGAGCTCCTGATGGTCTGTATGCTCCTCTTCACCCTCCTCTGATTATTCCAGCTGCGTTGCTAGCACGCTCTGCTGCGTTGCTAGCACGCTCTGCTGCGTTGCTAGCACGCTCTGCTGCGTTGCTAGCACGCTCTGCTGCGTTGCTAGCACGCTCTGCTGCGTTGCTAGCACGCTCTGCTGCGTTGCTAGCACGCTCAGCTGCGTTGCTAGCACGCTCTGCTGCGTTGCTAGCACGCTCAGCTGCGTTGCTAGCACGCTCTGCTGCGTTGCTAGCACGCTCTGCTGCGTTGCTAGCACGCTCTGCTGCGTTGCTAGCACGCTCTGCTGCGTTGCTAGCACGCTCAGCTGCGTTGCTAGCACGCTCAGCTGCGTTGCTAGCACGCTCTGCTGCGTTGCTAGCACGCTCAGCTGCGTTGCTAGCACGCTCTGCTGCGTTTCTAGGGCGTTGCTAGCATGCTCTGCTGCGTTGCTAGCACGCTCTGCTGCGTTGCTAGCACGCTCAGCTGCGTTGCTAGCACGCTCTGCTGCGTTGCTAGCACGCTCTGCTGCGTTGCTAGCACGCTCAGCTGCGTTGCTAGCACGCTCTGCTGCGTTGCTAGCACGCTCAGCTGCGTTGCTAGCACGCTCAGCTGCGTTGCTAGCACGCTCAGCTGCGTTGCTAGCACGCTCTGCTGCGTTGCTAGCACGCTCTGCTGCGTTGCTAGCACGCTCTGCTGCGTTGCTAGCACGCTCTGCCTCGTTGCTAGCACGCTCAGCTGCGTTGCTAGCACGCTCAGCTGCGTTGCTAGCACGCTCAGCTGCGTTGCTAGCACGCTCTGCTGCGTTGCTAGCACGCTCTGCTGCGTTGCTAGCACGCTCTGCTGCGTTGCTAGCACGCTCTGCCTCGTTGCTAGCACGCTCTGCCTCGTTGCTAGCACGCTCAGCTGCGTTGCTAGCACGCTCAGCTGCATTTCTAGCACGCTCAGCTGCGTTGCTAGCACGCTCTGCTGCGTTGCTAGCACGCTCTGCTGCGTTGCTAGCACGCTCAGCTGCGTTGCTAGCACGCTCAGCTGCGTTGCTAGCACGCTCTGCTGCGTTGCTAGCACGCTCAGCTGCGTTGCTAGCACGCTCAGCTGCGTTGCTAGCACGCTCAGCTGCGTTGCTAGCACGCTCTGCTGCGTTGCTAGCACGCTCTGCTGCGTTGCTAGCACGCTCTGCTGCGTTGCTAGCACGCTCTGCTGCGTTGCTAGCACGCTCTGCCTCGTTGCTAGCACGCTCAGCTGCGTTGCTAGCACGCTCAGCTGCGTTGCTAGCACGCTCAGCTGCGTTGCTAGCACGCTCTGCTGCGTTGCTAGCACGCTCTGCTGCGTTGCTAGCACGCTCTGCTGCGTTGCTAGCACGCTCTGCCTCGTTGCTAGCACGCTCTGCCTCGTTGCTAGCACGCTCAGCTGCGTTGCTAGCACGCTCTGCTGCGTTGCTAGCACGCTCTGCTGCGTTGCTAGCACGCTCTGCTGCGTTGCTAGCACGCTCTGCTGCGTTGCTAGCACGCTCAGCCTCGTTGCTAGCACTCTCAGCTGCGTTGCTAGCACGCTCTGCTGCGTTGCTAGCACGCTCTGCTGCGTTGCTAGCACGCTCAGCCTCGTTGCTAGCACGCTCTGCTGCGTTGCTAGCACGCTCTGCTGCGTTGCTAGCACGCTCAGCTGCGTTGCTAGCACGCTCAGCTGCGTTGCTAGCACGCTCAGCTGCGTTGCTAGCACGCTCAGCTGCGTTGCTAGCACGCTCAGCTGCATTTCTAGCACGCTCAGCTGCGTTGCTAGCACGCTCTGCTGCGTTGCTAGCACGCTCAGCTGCGTTGCTAGCACGCTCAGCTGCGTTGCTAGCACGCTCAGCTGCGTTGCTAGCACGCTCTGCTGCGTTGCTAGCACGCTCTGCTGCGTTGCTAGCACGCTCAGCTGCGTTGCTAGCACGCTCAGCTGCGTTGCTAGCACGCTCAGCTGCGTTGCTAGCACGCTCTGCTGCGTTGCTAGCACGCTCTGCTGCGTTGCTAGCACGCTCAGCTGCGTTGCTAGCACGCTCTGCTGCGTTGCTAGCACGCTCTGCTGCGTTGCTAGCACGCTCTGCTGCGTTGCTAGCACGCTCAGCTGCGTTGCTAGCACGCTCTGCTGCGTTGCTAGCACGCTCAGCTGCGTTGCTAGCACGCTCAGCTGCGTTGCTAGCACGCTCTGCTGCGTTGCTAGCACGCTCAGCTGCGTTGCTAGCACGCTCTGCTGCGTTGCTAGCACGCTCTGCTGCGTTGCTAGCACGCTCAGCTGCGTTGCTAGCACGCTCTGCTGCGTTGCTAGCACGCTCTGCTGCGTTGCTAGCACGCTCTGCTGCGTTGCTAGCACGCTCTGCTGCGTTGCTAGCACGCTCAGCTGCGTTGCTAGCACGCTCTGCTGCGTTGCTAGCACGCTCAGCTGCGTTGCTAGCACGCTCAGCTGCGTTGCTAGCACGCTCTGCTGCGTTGCTAGCACGCTCAGCTGCGTTGCTAGCACGCTCAGCTGCGTTGCTAGCACGCTCTGCTGCGTTGCTAGCACGCTCTGCTGCGTTGCTAGCACGCTCTGCTGCGTTGCTAGCACGCTCTGCTGCGTTGCTAGCACGCTCTGCTGCGTTGCTAGCACGCTCAGCTGCGTTGCTAGCACGCTCAGCTGCGTTGCTAGCACGCTCAGCTGCGTTGCTAGCACGCTCTGCTGCGTTGCTAGCACGCTCTGCTGCGTTGCTAGCACGCTCAGCTGCGTTGCTAGCACGCTCAGCTGCGTTGCTAGCACGCTCAGCTGCGTTGCTAGCACGCTCAGCTGCGTTGCTAGCACGCTCAGCTGCGTTGCTAGCACACTCAGCACTCTCATCCATCATCTCCTCTCTATGAGAGGTGTCATGCATTCATCTACCCTTGGTCCTCTCAGTCCGCTCTCTGCCTGCCATCTTTCTCCCTCCTCCCCCGTGCTGCAGTCACCGGCCTTCATGACTTGGATGAATTCGTGCAGGCACAGCTCATCCTCGCTGTAAGCATCTCCACTGCACCACTGAACCGCTGTTCCATCATTCCTTGCCCCCCTGTTAGCAACCCTCATGCCAGCCTCGTGCGCCGGTTCTGTCACCAAAAGCAGCCCGAATGCCCTTCTCTCCCGCTTTCCATTCCTTCCCCAACATCCCCTTTTTCCCATTCCTGCTTTCTCCTCCTCCCCCCTTTCCTCGCCTCTCCTCTTTTACCTCCTCCTCCCTCCCCGCCACCTCCCGCCAGGCGCTAGTGATAGTGACGCACACGCTGAGGCCGGGTGGTTCGTTTGTGGCAAAGATATTCCGGGGCAAGGACATAAGCCTGCTCTACTGCCAGCTGCGCGTCTTCTTCCACCACGTCACCTGCGCCAAGCCCAAGTCCAGCCGCAACTCCTCCATCGGTGTGCATTTGTCTACAGCTCAAGTGCTACTCAAGAAATACCGTTGTGCCTCCGCTTTTGTTGCCCTCCTGTTATTTCACACCTGCTTGCTTCCTTGCCTGTTTTCCTACTGTGCTGTTTTCTTGCTCCCCTGCGTTCCCGTCACCACTCGGCCACTCTTTCCTCCCTGTCCCTCCTTTATTATAGCTGCTCCTAGCTCTTCTTCCCTCCTCTTACTCCTCTTTTGCCTCCCACACTTGCCTTCCTTACCGTCCTCCAACTCTACCCTTGCTCCATCTTCCTCATCTCATCCCCGTCCCTCTTATCCCTCCGGTTCATCCCCCTCCCCAATACCCCACCACCACACCTGTGTGACACCATGACCAGAGGCCTTTGTGGTGTGTCGGGGGTACCACCCACCAGAGGGGTTCCACCCCTCGCGGTTGAGGGAGGTGCTGCATGGCACTGCCGCTGCCGCTGCCGAGAAAGCAGCTGCCCTTGGCTCAGGTGGGAATGGGGGAAAGGGGAAAGGTAGACTAGGGGGACCAGGGGGACTGGGGGTTTTTGAGTCGACTCAAAAGTCAGGTAGAGAAAGAGGGAGTGGGTGAGGGATATGCTTCTGTGGTTGTCAATTATCACCCATTCATGCCCCTCTGCACTCTCTTTCTTGTCATTTCCCCCCTCTCCCCCACTGCTCCCTCCCCCCAGACTGTCTGTCTGCAGGACTGGACGGCCCAGATCGGCTGTTTGTGCCCTTCCTGGCATGCGGCGACCTCTCAGGATATGACGCCGACCAGTCATACCCGCTCAACCTCCCCTCGTCGCACTCAATTCCACCCTCACTCTCACTCGGACTCTCGCGCACAGACAGACAGTGCAGTGCCGTACCGGCCTCTAGCCCCAGTGCAGCCTCCCATAGCGCCAGCATACAAGACAGCCCTGGAAAGACAGAGGCAGGGGGCAAGGTGACCTTCGGTTTCACTGAAAGGTTAACCCAGCGTAGGAGACAGCAGCTGGGCGCAGGGCCGGTGGTGAGGCAGATGCAGGGAATAGGAGGCGAAGCAGGAGAGTGTTTTCAGTGCCTAGGCGGTCTGTGCTTGTTGGTGTGCAGTGCATCGGCTGTTGATGCTTGAAAGTTTCAGCTCAGCGCTTTGTATTGAGGCTTGTTCAAGTTACGGTAAGCCAGTGACACTCTTGGTTGTCCCTGCCAGTGAGCTTGGACCCAGCACTTGGGGGGCTGTGAATGACTGACATGGCAACACTAGTTGAAGGCATAGGCTCATAGCCTGTTTTGTGCACTGGGAGGTGTGCTGTGCTTTGCTTGCCGATGTGTGGCCGGGTGTACGTCACAAATAAGCAGGACAATGGAGAGACCAGCAAGCAAGTCTGCAGTGCAAGCATCCACTGTCCAAGTCCCTACCTTCACTCTCGCCTCCTTTGCCCGTTACCGTACCAAACACCTTCTCCTCACTGCAGTCAACAGAGACAAGGCAAGCAATCCCTCCATGCCACAAGAGGCACGTCTTGGTCATTAGCAACAGTCACATCACGTCACATCACATCACAGCACCACCATCAAAGGCAACCCACCAACCCCAACACAACACATAGCGACCCTGACACACCCCAGCACACCACCCCTTTTAAGTCGACTCAAAAGCACAGCGCCACCATCAGGCAACCCCTCTCCAACCCCAATATGGTACATGACTTTAGTGTCACACCCCACTCCACCCCTTAGCGTGAAATTGGCTGCACCACGAGAGGAGAGCGCACTGTGTGCCCCTTGTCGTCAATCCACGCTATATACCCATACTTGAAGTCATTGCTGGGTTTATCCACCACCAACTTAACCGTATAAGTCGCCTTTTGCCCCGGAGCAAGCGTGAAACTCCCAGGCCCAACAGACAACTGCACACCTGGTGGCGCCTTCCCAAATACAGTGTATGTAGACGCAGAGCTGCCCACGCAGGTGACTGTGCGGGTGACTAGAACCGTGCCCTGCAAGCGAGGCACCGTGATGGTGGGCAGGTTGAGATTGCGCACGGCCACAGGGGAGAGGGACGCCCCTGGGAACTCCTTTTTCGCGCGGTTCAGGTCCTGCCCGGCGAGAAAATTCTGGTAGTCTTTCTCTCGAACGTCGTATGTGAGACCAGGGTCGAGCATGGCAGGTGGGAACACGTGCCCTGCGCCCATCTCCCACGGGGTTGCGTCTCCTCCGGACAAGCCGGCATTCTTAATAGGGCTGTTGCTCGTGTCTGTAAACCTCGCTGTCGTCATCATTGCAGACATGACCTGAGCCGGGGTCCAGTTGGGGTACTTCTGGATGATTAACGCGGCTAGCCCCGCTAAATGCGGGGTGGCCATGGAAGTACCCGTGAGGCGCACGGTCGTGCCCGGCTCACCAATTTTCTTGGAGGGAAAAGCGGCTACAAGGTCAACGCCAGGACCGATGATATCTGGCTTGAGAATGTCGTTAGCTGGCCGGAGGGGCCGGGGTGTGTCAGAGGGCGGTACGAGGGGAGGGGCCCACGAGAAGAGAATTCAGCGACCGCAGTGAGCGTGGCGCAGAGAATTCAGCCGACCATGGGGGCGGAGGCGGCAGCCGTGAAGGTGATTCCCCCGTCCGCAGTGAGCGTGGCGCTGCTGTCACTCGTGCTGTTGCTGCTGGCGATGGCGTTGAGAGGGTTCAGGGACGAAGCTAAGGACGCCCCCCTTGCGATTGTGCTGCGGGAGATGGGAAGTGTGGAGGGTGGGTTGGGAGAGAAATGGCTGGTTGAGTCACACATGCAGCAGCAGTACACAGAAGAAAGGCAACAACGACAGCAACAACAGCAACATGACGAATGGGACAGCCACGCTGTGCGTGCCTTAGTAAACGTTCCGAGCACGACTGATGATGACCCGACACACGCAAAGGCAAGGCGCAGCAACTTTCCATCACAGAAGTCAGGCTGTCGAAACCACGACAGGCGTCAGCGGCGGCTGGAAGCTCACCTGGCGCCAACGCAAAGGACAAAGGGCCCGAAATTGGCCACGGTGCGGTAAACACCTCCACCTCCCTGCGACCGCCCGGGCGCTCCTCCATTGCCCGCAGCCAGGACCACCAGCACCCCCGCAGCGTTGGCCCTCAGATACAGTAGGTCGCTAAAATAGTCTTGGTTCGGATCCACGCCGGCTAGAGAGATGGAGATCACATCGACGCCGTCTGCCACGGCCTGATTAATCGCCGCCGCGATATCTGCTCCGCTGCACCCTCCGCCTCCGTTGCTGCGCGACCAGCAGACCTTGTAGACGGCGAGGCGCGCTGCAGGCGCCATGCCGCTCATCTGCCCGCCGCCCTGCATGCCCACGGGGTTACCCGCTGCCGCGCCCGCGAACCACGTGCCGTGGCCGCTGCTGTCGCGCGGGGACAGCCAGTCGCTTTGCAGCGAGGGCGTGCCGAACGCGGCGTAGAACGCCCGCGCGCCGATCACCTTGCTGTTGCACCGGAACGAGCTCGACTGCTCGCACTTGCCCTTCCACCCGGCCGGGAGCTTCGAGCTCATCCCTGCATTGCTGAACGACGGGTGCTCAGGCCAAATACCCGTATCAACGATCCCCACCACTGTTCCCTCACCCGCCTTGCTCTGACCGCCCACTGCCGGCCAGACCTTTCCGGGGAGCCCGAGGAACTTGGGCGAGTCGGTGGTTTGGACGCGGAGCATGCGGCTGGGGGTCATGGACGCGACGTTGGGATGGCGCTGCAGCCGCCACACCTGGCGCGGGGAGAGCCGCGCCGCGAAGCCGTTGGACGTGTGCTTGTAGCTGTAGATGAGGTGTGAGTCGGGTACGCCTGCCTCAGATGCGACCTGCGCCTGCTGCCGCTGCAGCAGCGCCGCGAACGCCGCCACCTGCTGCCGGTCCATGCTCAGCCGCATTCGGCGCCGCGCGGCGCGCCCGCCGTTGCCACCGTTTGACGCGGCAGGTGAAGACGCAGTTGCGTTGGGCCCCGAAAAGGCGGAGCTCCAGGCATGATTGGCAGTGGCAGTGTCAGCAGCGCTGTCAACAGTGCTAGTAGGAGTCGTAGTCACGACGGTACTGTCGTCCAGGTCCACAGCTTCATGCTTCGCCGCCCTCGAAGTCGCTTCATGCAGTGCATCTGCTCCTGCGGCGTCGTTAGTAGCTGCAAGATCCATCTTCGGTACGGCTTCGTCGTTGTCTCCGTCATTCTCGCTGCCGCCGTCGTCCCACGTGGCAGTGGCGGGGTAGCCGGCGATTCCGCCGCGGTATTCGACGAGCGGCGGCGCGGAGCTCAGGCGCACGATGTAGACGGACCCGCTTCCGCCATTGCCGCCATTCCCGCCGCCACTCGCGGGTGCTTCAAGGGGCTGGAACCCTCCGCCATCCCGCCACGCTCGAGTCGCACCGGATGACGGCTGCGCTGCTAGCAGCAGCGCGCCAAGTATCATCAGCCACATCGCAACGGCAGGACGGTACCGGGCCATGTTATTTATGGCGATGAGAGATTCTAGCCGCGTCGAGGTAAAAATCGTTGCTTCGAGAGGAAGAAACGTAATTCAGATGGGATGAATCGACTGCGATGCTCCCCTGTAGTATCCTTCCTCCGAGTCCTCTCCTCGAGTTCCACCCCACGCTTGGTTGAGCCCGAGCCGCATCGCGCGCGGCGCGACATTAGCCGGGATGACGACGGGCATCTGGTGGGGGTCCGATCCGAAGCGAAAGTAACGGACGGGGCTGGATGAAGCCGGGAACTAAAAATTCCGGGCGAAAGGACAAAGGGAGAGAAAATGGATGGTGAATCCGGGCCGTGCACGGCACGGGTCAGCTCAGGAGCACCTCGAATCGCGCGCGGACAAGAGTACAGACTAGGGGTCGCGGGAAAATTTTATCTCTCGAGCGGTTTGCCGGGCCACTGTTTGTGGGGCTGAACCTTCACTGCTGTAGCCGATATTAGAGGTGCTTAGAAACTGTACATGTAGTCCGGATATATCATGCTTACACGCAGCATAACTCTTATGTGAAGTAACTACTATTGGACAGAGACACTAATCCCATAAACCACTCACTGCATGCACCATCTATACGGTATCGAAGATGTGACGACACAACAGCATTTGTACTCCCAACAGCACAACACTGCCAGACGCCCCTCTACAATCATGGCACTCGGCAACAGCACCACGCCATCCATCACTCTGCAACCAGCTGTGGTTTCTCAACAGTAGCACCTTCGCCATCTGGTCTGGCACACTGCAGCAGCAGAGCCTGGCCCTCAACCCTCTGCGCCTCCAGCTGCAAGCGCAGCGCCTCCCATCGGGTGCGCTTCACAGTCTGTGCATTTGCTCGCACCTGCGCCTGCAGCTCTGCAAGCCGCTCCTCCTCCTGGGATAGCGAGGCCAAAGCTGCCAGATTGGCCAGACGTTTCGCCTTCCGCTCGGCCCGCTGCTGCTTCACAGCGAACTGGAGAACGTCTTTGTGACTTCTGATTATGCCCTGCCAATGGAAATATTTGGCGCGTTGCAGGGAGTGCGGATGCTGTAATAAGGGAAGTACAGGCAAGGTTTACAATGCAACAGTTTGCGTAGGGACGCGTGCAAGCGCACAGAGGCAACAAACAGAGACAGAAGAAAACCCATTCTCTAAAACAGCAGGGGAAGCTGTTCTTGTAGAGCATGTTGACACGTGCACATGAGTGTATAATCAGTGAGAAAGCACACCTGATCCACTTGCAGATATCGTGCAAACGTCCTCTGGATTACACGTGCCTGCCAGTAATAGAGCCACAGGAGACGTGAAGATTATGCTAACATGCACACAAATCGCTCATCACTCTATATACAGCAGCACCACCTTTTTCACCACGAGCTGGAATTGAAGGGGTTCACAAAATCCCAGAAAGTAAAACAACATGAGGCTCACACATAAGTGCTCTACAGAGAGAAGGATGCACAGCAACACTCTCCCCCCGGCTGAAGGAATGTACCTGTGCCTGCTGCCAATCTGCCGATGCGTTGCCTCCCCCTCCTGACCTACTGCGCTCCTCGTATATCTCCGATGCCAGTGCCATCTGCTCCTCCTCCCGCCCCGCTGCACCATGCAGTCACGGGGCAAAGGACAAAACCATGCATAAACCATAAACAACCGCACACAGCGGCACAGACAGAACGGAGCAGCAGACCTGGGTGAGTATGGGGAAGGTGGCAACTGAATTAGAGGAGAGCAGAAAGAGCCACAAGAGAATGAGGACACGGAGGATGACCAGCAGGGGAGGAGACCAGGGACCAGGACTGGCTGGAACAGAGCGCTGCCCAGGAAAAGTATTGGCAATGGTCGCGGGGCAACAACACAGAAGGAAAAACTTATGGAGACGTGATGAACATGACGTGATATGAATGCCGTAACAGCGCTGGGGCCGGTGTTGGAGTGTTGGAGTGGCGCACATGTTCGAAACAAGTGGGAGCATTCATGTTGGCATGGCATGAGATCATGACTCACCTAGGAGGCGGCCCTTGACAGAGTGCCAGCAGTCGAGGTAGGGGTGCGCAATTGGACGCGCCTGGCGGATTTGCGAGAGAGCCGAGTCCAGATCCATTCCCTGTGGGGGGAGGGGAGCGTCACGATGGCAGGAAGAGTAGATGGGATGAAAAGAACAAGGGACAAGAGCTGGTGCATGCTTGAACGTGGGTATCTGAAGATGCACGCACGGTACACACGCGTTCAAGGTCACACTTGCACATGCATACAGAAACAAGCACACTGGCACACACATGCATGTACATGCACAAGCGCGCATGTACCTTGACAAAGGTGAGGTAGCCCAGGGCTGTGAGCGTGGCGCGGTTGATGCCCGCCGTGCAGTGAATGTAGACGTCACACCCCTCGGCTATGAGGAGGTTGACCATGCGCACGGCTACCGGCAGCATGAAGGCCTGGTCGCCATGGTCAAAGTCCCGGATGGGTACCCTCTCCAGCCGCAGCCCCCTCTGCACTGCCTGCTCGCGGATAGTAGCAAAGGGGATCTGCTTGGGCGGCGTGGGAGAGGAGAAGGGGTAGTGGGAATGGGGAGCCGGGAGAAGGAGAGGGGAGGGTTCAGGGGCAGGAAGTACACAGGAGATGAAGTGCGGGCGTGGGATAGGGGTGGGTGGGCCGATATTGGTTAGCGAACAAGCGCCGCGCCGCATAAATAGCTTGGCCTGGATGGTTTTGTTTCGATGCGAACTGAAAGAGCAGAAATCTCTCGGGTGCTTGGTTACTAATGGAGATGGTGCAAGGATGCAAAAGTGCAAGCGTGGGTAGGTGGATAGGCGGATGGGAGCATGCCTGGAGGGCGTCGAAGCAGAGGTCGGACTGCAGGTTGACCACGGCCGTTGCCCCACTCTCATCCACTATGCGATCCTGACCCGCACGCACACAGGTGGCACATGAGGGAGAGAAGGGAGGGAGAGGAAGAGGAAGAGGCTGAAGGAGCGGGTGAGGGAGAGGGTGAGGGGGAGGGGGAGGGAGAGGGTGGAGCGCAAGGAGGAAGAGAGATATGCTATGAAGGAAGAACACAAGCAGAAACTTGTCGTAGGGAGGGTTTCAGGCACGCATTCACGCATGGCAGTGAACAATGGCGAGTCTTGCAGCATCGAAGCGACAGCAAAAGGGAGCGAGGTGAGAGGGAAAAGGAGACGTACGACGTCTGAGGGGCTGCGAGGGCAGGAGCCGACAATGACACCGGGCGCTATGCGACTCCAATTCAACGTCCACCTCCACTCGCCCCCCACGTTGCCGCCCCCTCCGCCTCCCCCGCTCTCGCGCTGCATGTCGCAGGGACACACGATTCCACAGGTCAGTCAGTCAGTCAGTCAGACAGTCAGTCACTCGTTTTGGGGGAAACGGAGAAAGAACGCTTTCTGGTGTATCCAACCATAACGTGGGACCGCGCAGGTCAATGACTGCACCAGCTGACCTACCACGAAGCTCTGAAGTTCGCGATCCTTTAAACCAAGAACCGGAGCGACGGTTATTTGTGGGAACGATCCTTTCAAACACTCGCACGAACATTCTATTTATAATACCTCTACGGTTGTTCCTATTCCTCACTGCCTCTCCCATCGCCACACCCCCAACAACCAGTCCCTTTCCTGCGTGCATCTCATAAAGTCGGTTTCCCCCGTTCACCGCACCTGCCGCTTCTCCCAGTCCGCCTTTTCCGCTTCTGTGGCCCACTCCCCACCTCCGCCAGCTCTAACGCCCGCGCGCTCACCCGCCTTCCGCTCGCGCCGCTTCCGCGCGGCCGCCTCCGCTCCCCGAACTGCGAAGAATCGGTTGCCGCGTGACATCTGGTGACAGGAGGCTAGCGAGCGAGAGCTGTCGTGGTCGCGTACAGTCGTCGACGACATGTGCACGGAGAACGCGGTAACAGGCGAGCGGGATAGATATGGCTCCCCTGAGGTGGGTAGCTGCTTAGCACGGTAAGTTACATGACGGAAAGACGACGCCGTTTCCGCCGGAGAGATTAGCGACATGCCGCTTATTGCCATGGCGTACGCAGCGCAAAGCATGCACTCAAGACGTACAAACGTTTCGTTTCAAGAAACCAAGTACGCGGACGTATTAGTAACCACCACTACTGCCGCGAAAGCACCAAGCTAGGACGTATGGCAAGACCTTCAGTTCCTTCCGCTTCTTCTGACACGAGCGCGTTGGAAATAGTTGTTGAATCAACTTCACGGCTCCGTACACGAGCATGGAAGTTGTCGCAAAAACATTACCGCGCTACAGACTGAACCGGGGAAAAACAGTTAGCGATTCCCAGGCGAGAGACGAAGCCTAAAAATGACAATGAATGTCCAAGTTCCCAGCTCACTATATGACAACCATTCAGTATTAGACGGCACTGAATGAGTGCTAATGACGTTATTAACCTACAAAGGATTAAATACCCTAGAGCAATCTAAAAACTGGCCTCCACACCACTCGCACCACACACACAAGCTGTAAGAATGGACAAACCTCGTTCGTGCCACACACTACCGTCATCGCCCGGATATAAGACATATATGTCTTATCTCGTACACGGGCAAAAATGCTTGAGTTATCTTGTAAACGGGATGGTTTAGGGTGTCTTATAAGTCTTATAAATGGAAACTTTTTAAACTACTTAGAAATATTTTCCGTACTTCTTGAAAAAGAGTTCCTCATAATGAGTGTGGATGTTGCGAAGGTGCCACTTCGGCAACCACTGCCCGGGACGCCACGTCATGGAGAACACCTGCAGAGGCAAATTTGGTAGGTCCTGGGTCAGCGCGTGGAGAAATTCGCGCTTCGCAAGGGTAAAAATGTACGCGTTATTTCAACTTTCGCTATAATATATTGAAGTTTCGATTATAAGACATATATGTCTTATCTCGTACACACAAATAGGTGTCTTATAATGAGGCTAGCCTGTTTATAAGAGACACCCGTATAGTAGACAACCCCTGTCTACTATTCAACACTGTCTTATATCCGGGCGTTTACGGTAACCATTACCGTACATGCAGGTGTCAAATCAGATCACATCACAGCTCGCCACACTCAGCAATGACACATGCAAGCTTGGGCCGGTTGTTTGGGCCTGTCTGCACGTTCTCGATTTTCCGCACAACGAGGAGGGAATCTCCTAGCACTCGCTGCAAGAACATTGCAAGGGCAGGGACGAGAAAGGGCTCATGCAGACAGCAGGGACAGGAAACGGAAAAAAGGGCTAGAGTTTAGTCAAGGAGAAAAGAAGGGCAGACCCGAACAGCAGTTGTTTAGAAAGTCAAATGCAAGCTTCAGAGAGCATGAGCTGAGCAGCTATGGAGAAAGGCGTCCAGTTAAACTTAAACCATAGCAGCAGGCAGGCATTCCGGGTGATGCATGTGTGTACTCAGCATAGTCGGCACAGGCAGAGGCACACGCAGAGACACAAGCACAGGCAAAGGCACAGGCAAAGGCAAAGGCACAGGCACAGGCACACGCCCATGCAGCACAACGGAAAGTGAGCTTACCCCAAAGACCACGTGCTTGTTGTCAAGCCAGTCACACTTGGCGCATGTCAGGAAGAACTGCCGGCACAGACACAAAAAAGCACACACCAACACAGAAGCAAACCAGCACAGAAGCACACCAACACAGAAGCACACCAACACAGAAGCACACCAACACAGAAGCACACCAACACAGAAGCACACCAACACAGAAGCACACCAACACAGAAGCACACCAGCACAGAAGCACACCAACACAGAAGCACACCAACACAGAAGCACACCAACACAGAAGCACACCAACACAGAAGCACACCAGCACAGAAGCACACCAACACAGAAGCACACCAACACAGAAGCACACCAACACAGAAGCACACCAACACAGAAGCACACCAACACAGAAGCACACCAACACAGAAGCACACCAGCACAGAAGAACACCAGCACAGAAGCACACCAACACAGAAGCACACCAACACAGAAGCACACCAACACAGAAGCACACCAACACAGAAGCACACCAACACAGAAGCACACCAACACAGAAGCACACCAACACAGAAGCACACCAGCACAGAAGCACACCAACACAAAGGAAGATGAACTACGAATCATGGACCAGGAATCACCTCACCCACCTCCTCACTCTGCTACCAGTCTCCCTCACGCAAAGACTTTCTCTCTAGTCCTCTGCATGCCTGTCCCGGCCACATGCTCTTCTACCATGCCTTCAACGGTATCCACGAGCCAGGAGTGTTTTGAGTTGGCTTAAACCACGCATGCCTACCCATATTAGAGGGTCTTGTTCCAAGCGCCCAACCGACCGCATCCTGGAGCTGCAGTCCCGGCTTGGGGACTGGAGCTGTAGTCCCGGCTTGGGGACTGGAGCTGTAGTCCCAGCTTGGGACACAATCAAGCAGCTGCGCACCCGCAGAGTGGGGCTGTGGCCTCCGTATAGGGACCCCTGTGTGTTCAGACATAGGGACCCTCGACTCAAAGACCCCCGACGCACGGGCAAGGTGAGAACAAGTATGGCCTGATGTTAATAGTGGTAGAGTGAAGGAGCAGTTGAGCAGAGGGAGCATGATGGGGCAACCTCCAGTTCTCATACGCTGCACCGCCCGCTCATACGCTGCACCGCCCGCATTCACTTAGCGCCCCCACTTAGCGCCCCCTTCACTCATAATACTCGCCAATTCTCCACTGCTCCTACTCGCCGAATCCTACTGATCCTTCGTGCATGCAAAGGGAGATGCAGAACGAGAAACTGCAACAGGAAATGAGCACGGCACCGCCCGAAAGAGAGTGGGGGAGTGGGAGCACCTGACAGCCATTCGTGTTTGGCCCACTGTTGGCCTGCAGAGGTGGAAAGAGACAGAGAGGCGGATAAGAGGAGTGGGGTGAGAGGCTAGATCGGATGGTGGTCTCAAAGGCAGGGCATGCACACACGGCCATGCGATCGCAGTGAGAAAGAGCGAGAACAAAGAAGTAGATCAAGAGCAAGGAAAAGAGCAAGAGCGAGAACAAGGGCAGGAGCAGGAGCAAGAGGTGGAGAGGAGAGGAGAGCATACGGCGGAGAGCAGTCCTGGACCGGTGTGCTTGGCAATAAATGGCTCGTCGTCAAACTTGGATCCGTATATGCTGATGCACCCCGTGCCGTCGCCCTGATTCACGAGGAGCACAGGAGGCAGGAGCACGGGGGAGAAGCAGGAGGGGACAGGAGGATAGGGAGTGGGTGAGTGGCGGCTGAGGAATGACGACTGGGGAGATGGGGGAAGAAACAGTGGGCGGGATAGGAATGGGCAGAGGGCAGGGGTGGGGGGGCGGTGGCGCAGGCAATGGTGCAGGGAAAGGTGGTGCGAAGTGTGGTGTGGTGCAGTGGAGCAGGCACGGGCGCAGTGAGGTGAGGTGAGGTGAGGTGAGGTGAGGTGAGGTGCAGTGAGCGCACCTTGAGGAAGTCCCCTCCTTGGATCATGAAGTCCTTGATGACTCTGTGGAACACCGACCCCTTGTAGCCCTGCGGTATGTTGTTCTTCCTGCTCCCACCCACACACATGCACATGCACGAACAGATATGCAGATACTCACACATGGTGGGACGATTGCGGCATGAGAGCATTGCACAACAGCACATGTGTGCACTGCAGCAGGATATAGCACATGCACAGCTGCCTGCTGTCAAGCCATCAGCTATTATTTTAAATGGACGGTTTAGTATCGCACCTCATCTCGCCCGTGCATAGCTGCCTGTGGTCACCGCACCACACCGCGCACCACCACCACGCGCCGCACAATCCAACATGTACAGTTGCACGCACACGAGAGAAAAGACCACGCCAGGAGCATGTGAAGGGGGTTTGAAGCGGCGCAAAACAGAGAAGTGTGTATGGGGGGAGGTTCTGGAGACGCGGCAAGGGCAGTGGTGGTGAGATGGTGGGGAAGGGCCTAGTGAACCCACAGCATGGCATGGCATGGCATGGCACGGCACGGCATGGCACGGCACATGGCGTAGCGGTACCGGAAGTTCTCAGCGGTGCGGGGCGCGATGTCCGCGAAGAGCTCCATCTTGATGCGCCCCGCCGCGATGCCCCCGATCGTCACGTCGAAGAACACCACGGGGTTGCGCGGGTTCTGCGCGCGCGTGTGCCAATCCACCACCGCTGCGGCCTCCGCCCCCGCCATTGCGCTGACTTCTTCGCGCGCGGATCTCTCGCTCCTCCACTTGCGCCGCTCCCGCTACAATCTGCTTTTGGTTGGGGTAGTTGCGCTGGTTCCGCTAGTCTCTAAGGCAATGATTTTTTCCGCTCTTCTGGTGTTAATCTCGTCAACGACGGGAAGCTAGCGCGATAGTGGTGGTTCCTGGCAGTCGGTCTAAGCTCGACGCGAGGTGAACGCCGGACGTGCTCGGAGGAGGTACTCGGCCCGCTGATGGATACAAGCAAGCTAGCTCCAACGGAGAGGAGGAAAATAGAACTATCGGACGAATGACGCTAGCCACGTAAAGAACCGCTCGTACCGCCGCGTCGTGTTCGGGACACACTGAGCATCCGGGATGCTGTTGCTGTTTCGATCGAAGTCTGGATTCTGGAACTCGTAGTGTTCGCGTTTGTGTAAAGCTGATCAGGGGGGACCCGCTTTCATGTGCTGCGATATTGCCGTTAGTATCACACCATAACTATAGCACCACGCTTTTGCTGGCATGAACACTCAGAAGCTGAAAAAGCTATTCTCCAAAAGAATGTACGGTAGGTATTTTAGCTCGTAAGCCAGCTACTGAAAGAGCATCAATTAATCTGGTGTTCATTGATCCAGTCAAAATATAGAACGGCACATGCATTCTGACCATGGCACTTTGTAGAACTTTATCAACTAAGTATCTATTCACGTTCACAATGCAAGGTTGGGTACCGTACGATACCCTTTGAAGAGGCTTACCGATGACAACCAGAGGCCTGGCATCCGCAGTGGCTATTAACACAAAAAGCTGTAGTACAACCCGTGTCCTACATGTGGGTATCGATGCCAGTCAGAGCTACTTTCAGTATGCTATTCATCGAGAGACTAACGTGCTAACATGTTATCTACATGTGTGCGTCTGGAGGGGACGCCTTCATGTGCAGCTATGGACTGGCAAGGCAGAAGTGGAACCTACACGTGTATCATGTGAGGTGCACCATGTGAGCTCAGGTGCTACACGCGGTGCCCTCCTCCACGACGCTGTCTCAATTGAACGCTCTGGTTTTTGAACAGCCAGTTTGAGACCTCGGCGCGCATGTAAAACCCCTTGCGCTGCACCTTCAGCCACGTGGGGTAAATCGTCACGCAGTGCGCCACCGAGCCTAGCAGGAACGTGTCAGTGTTGGGCCGCCACCGGGCCAAACTCTGAATGCGATTCTGCAGCCGTACAGAATAACGCTTGAGCGCATCCCGAGCTGCTGCTGAGCAAGTGGCGTTGCCATTCTTGTGCCGAGGCTGCTTCACCGCCTTGGGAACATACCCTGCCGTGCCTCCCGACGGCCGAAGCTCGTCCAGGCAAAGGAGGACGCTGGAGGAGGATGCGTTGGATGCCTTGTTAGCGGTATTGAGGATATCCATGGCTGTATAGTCGTTGATCGAGTTAATGATGAACATAGGCGTTGACACGAACTCCAGGTTGTTCTGTGGAAAGAAGCATCTCCATTGAGTCACCTTGCGGTTTGCTGGGGATACGTGTTGGGAGGCGGAGGGAGCGAGAGCGAGGGAAAGGGAGACCATGAGCAAAAACGGTTTGGGTGAGAGGGGGTGTGTTGGAGAGAAAGCAAGTAGAAGAGGAATTCTGAGTGAGAGAGTGTGAGACTTGGTGAGAAAGAGAAGGGGAGAGGTGAAGCGTGGAGAGTGAGGGTGAGGAAGAAAGAAAAGAGGCGAGGCAATGGGTCGATCGAATGCGAGCCACATACAGCGGCAGAGCCAGAGGGAATCGTGTGAGCGTGCTCATGTGTAACGTGCTATCTGAATGTGATGTGTTGTGCATGTGATGTGTTGTTCATGTGTTGTGCATGTGCTCTGCATGCGGGTGCGTGCACGGCAGCAGGCGGGCTCACCTTTAACACAGTCGGCGTCATACTGTGCCTGGTGCAGGTCCACCAGCTTCTGTGCAATGGTGCGGAACGCAGGGGTGCCGTTCTCGTCCCACCCATCTGATCCCAGGTCATCACATGGGGGGGTGGGTTGGGGTTGGGGTGGGGTAACGGCGGAGACGGAGCACGCTGGAGGTCAGTCCGAGTGTCAGAGCCCGTCTATGGATGAATGTACATTAGAGAGTGAGACGTTGAGGCGATTCAGAGTTGACGAGTAGAGTTCCTGTACGAACAAATGGAACGCTTCTGAGCTGCGAGAGGGACCGCCCCGTGGTGATAAGCAGGCGTACCGGGCGCGCGGGAGAGAGGGAGCAAGAGACGAGAGAGTGAGGGGCCGAGGGAGGGAGTGGGGGAGCGGGGAGCAAGGGAGCGAGGAAGCGAGGGAGCGAGGGCGCACCGAGGAAGAAGCCGGCGTCCATGAGGCACTTGGTGTTGGCGGCCGGCACTGCCGCCGCCACGTCATCGCACGACGTGGACACCGCCTGCGCTCCCGCGGAGCACCCCGTCAGCAGCACGCGCTTCGCGGTCGCCATGCCGCGCTTGGCCAGGTCTGCGGGGCAAGCAGCAGAGGGCATGCCATAAGACCATCAATATTGATATACGCATACACATACATGAGGGGAAGGGGAGGGGATGGTGAGGAGGAGGAGGAGGAGGATGGACACAGGAGGAGGAGGAGGAGGAGAAGCACGAGGAGGAGCAGAGGGAGCAGCACGGACCTGCGACGATGGATTTGAGGATGCGATGGCCGTCCATGTAGATGGTGGTGGAGGAGTTTACTTTGACGGCGCCCGCCGTGCCGGCGTACCCGCCGCCGTCGCAGTAGACGACCATGACGGTGTTCCAGTTGTAGTAGTCGGGATTCTGCACCTCGCTGCTGCTCAGCAGCCCCGTGAACTGGCTGTTAAAGTTCCGCATCTGCCGCCATGCGTCGCCGTCGTGCATCGTCGTCGTGCATCGTCGTCGTGCGTCGTCGTGCGTCGTCGCAGTGCACGCAAAGGGTTCGGACAAGGAGTGAAGGGAAGAGAATGAGCCGTGGGAAACAGAAGGCGGAGCGATTTGGGGAAGAAGGAGAAGATCGATAAGCGGTAGCGGAAGACGAAAGATGGAACACGGAGAACCGGAAGCAAAGGAAGGCAGATTGATTCACGACATGGCCTCGAGCTCCGCAGTATGCTCTCGGCATTGCATGCTCCACGCTACCCGTTCCGCGTTGCGCGCCGCGCGTTGCGTACTCACCACGCGCACAAACGAGGCGCTGCTGGGTTCGGGCCAGAACTTGCTGGAGCCCAGCGGCGTCGTGGCGCGCTGCGCGCACTCCGCCTTGCTCGTGCACCACGCGCCGCCTTGCAAGTACACCAGCCAGTTGTTGGCCCCGGACCCATACCCGTCGCGGAGAAAGTAGGCTGGAGGACTGGTGTGACAGGGGGTGACGGGGCGAGAAGGGGGCCAGAGCCGACGAGACAAGTCGTTGCGCGTTTCGGTGAGTCTGAGCGGGTACGCATTGGATCTACTTGCTGAAACGCAAATACGCGGGGACCTTTCCGGTAATGCAGAAATGCCCCTCGCGATGTTCGTGGCGTATATGCTGTAAAACCAGATGGCTCACACATTCACACTAATTTATCGAGGGGATGCGGCAGCTGTGGCCTAATTGGGTGAATGCATTATTCTGACTACTCAAAACACGTCTACCAGTCGTTCCGACTGCCCCCATGCCGCGTCCCCGCAATCTACAAATTTGACGAGATCCAACTGGTTTACTCAAAGGCGTCCTTAGTAACCATTTCTCCGCACACGCAATTTAGCGACTCCCACGACGCACTCAACTCACCTGCCATCGAGGCATTTGGGATCCTGAGCGCTTCCTCCCAGCTTCACCAGCCGCAAACTAGCGGGTCTGGAGGCGGCCTGCGCTACGGCCGCGCTTATTATAACGAGCAGGGCCGTGCTCAGCGTGAGCGCATTAGCCCGTGTCGCCATGGCTTAGTGCCTCCTACTCGTAACCTAAAGCAGTTACAGTTACGTGGTTGTCTTGAGAATTATAAATCCGGTGCCCTACGGAAAAGCAGATGGCAATGGCTCAGACAACAAGCAACGCAATAGTTTGTGTCTGTTTGGTTGAGGCGCGTGGATGAATGGATCCCGAAAGGCGAATGATGGATGTGACAGGCCACAACTGAAGGTGATGTGAGGGTGGAGCGGATGGGGGGTGGGATGGGAAGCGAAAAGCTGAAACAGTCAAGACATGAGAGGAACGAGAGGAAAAACGGAAGGGGTTGATCAAAGTCGAGCCGTACAATATGCATGAAATGTTTTGGGTCGAATTCGCGACGCGCCAGTTTTTCCTCCTTCGCCTTGTGTGCCATCCCGTGGGCGGCTCCGACAGAACAGACACGCAGCGAAACATGAAAGCCCCGCGTTTCGTCAGACACAGAATGCAACGACCGAGATCTACAGTAAATAGAATGATATGTTACCATGACTCGCATATACTAGCATAATAATATTAAATTACAGTGACAAGTCACCGCAATATCATTACATTCATAACAATATCCAGCCTAAGGAATCTGCATGATCTTAATAACAGCAGATCCTGAAATGCGATGCACCACCACAGCAGTATCGCCAGAGGTGATAAGTCCACGGGTCTTAGCCTTCTCCAACGAGGTCGAAATGATGTCTAAGACAGCATCAGAATCAGTGGATCGCGCCCCTCCCTCTGCCAAAATCGGCACAAGCCCTCTGACCAGCAGCGCGTGGCGAGCAGGAGCAGCGTCACTAGGTTCCACAAAGAGCTCAAGGGAATCAGTGGGTTCGAGCACAGGCACAGCCACGGAGAGGATAGGCATGTATGGCCGGTACTTGGCCACCAGCCCTGCTGTGTTTCCACTGTGTGTCAGCACCACTATTAGCTTCGCCGCCACCTGCACAGCAGCAAACGAGCAATCCAAAAAAAAAAAATGAAAATGAGGAATGGAACTAAAAGAAACGAAACGGAACGGAACTGAACGAATAGGAAAGAAAAGAGGAGAAAGAAGCCGAACCAGACATTCCTGCATG